CCTCTTTTCAGGTACGAAAAGTGCCCCTTTTCAGTTTTGATAAGTGCCCCCTTCACCTCTGATAATTGCCCTATTCAAAACTGAGAGGTGCTCCTTTTACTCTGACAACTGCCCCTTTTTTCCTTTGTAAAAAGTGCCCCTTCTCCTTTTAATAACTACCCCTTTTTTAAACTCGGATGAGCACACCTTTCATTTTAATATGTGCCCCTTTTATTTTTTAATAAGTGCCCCTTTTCCTTATGATAAGTGCCCCCATTAAAAAGAGAGAGCTCCTTCCCCTTAACTACCCCTTCTCCTTTTTAATAAGTGCCCCCTTCTCATTCAACAAATGCACATTTTCCTTTATTATAAGTGCCCCTTTTACATTTTCATAAGTGCCCCTTTTCACCTCTGATAATTCCCCTTTTAATAATGACACGTGCCCCTTTTACTTATAAATGCCCCTATCAAAATCTGATGGGTGCCCCTTTTCCATCAACAAATGCCTATTTCCCATTTTCGTAAACGCCTCTTATTCATCACTGGTGAGTGCCTCTTTTCAGGTGAAAAAATGCCTCATTTTCACCTCTTATAATTATCCTTTGTACTTTGACACGTGCTCCTTTTCTTTTTTAATAAGTGTCTTATCCCTTTCGATAATTGCCCCCTTTTCATGTAATCATTAAACGTGCCCCTTATTTAAAGCGACTAAGAACAATTTCCCCCAAAGTTCGCTCGCTGCGCTCGCTCGCATTTAAAGATGATATAATTATGTTACTTATCAAAGGTCTTTTCAGTCTTCCGTTATGAAAATGTGCTTATAACCCCATCACGATTGGCTTTTTTCCTCTATAGAAGATGGTATTTTTCGCACTGCGACCTCACAGATCTTTAAAAATGTTCTCGCTCGCTTCGCTCGCTCGTCAATGCATAGTCAGACATCATACCCAACTGTACAATATGATGCTTAAGCGATATCTTGTATGATGTATGAAGAGAAACAAATAATGAAATCCTCCCTGATTATGTAATCACAATGTAGGGGTATATACCAATTAATGTCAAAAAAATTGTATATTTTCGCTTTGAGATTTCCCAATGTAGGTGCCCTTTTTTTTCCAGAAAGTGCCCTTTTTTGTTGGTGCCCCCCCCCCCACTTTGGAAATCGCTCGGCCGCCCCTGGGCACGGTCGAATTAGCCGTAACTCAGTTTAGATATAGTCCTTATTAGTCATAATCAGCTCTAATGACATCATTGTTGCGTATTTAGTGCGTCGAAGTATATCTCTGCAATCAAGCAAAAATTTGAGCTTGTTTAGTAATAGTTACCGGTAACAGTTATCATTTAAATAACAATCCTCTATCGAACAGCCTACCTAAGGGGCGCTGTGCCACTTTTAATCATGGTCATCATTATCACTAATATCGTCATCGTATTTATGAACATTATTGTTTTTGATTATTGCTAACACTGTTATGATCAGTATTTAAGAGCCCATTTGTGCTAGCAATATTAAAGGCATTGTTCTCAATTGCATCTCTCTTCTCTCTTGTTCTGTCCCTCTTTTTCTTTTTTTTTTGGGGGGGGGGGGTCTGTCTCTACATCTATCTATCTCTATGCTCTTTCACCCCCTCTCTCTCTTGCCTCCCTCCCTCTCTCTTATTCTCTTGCTCTGTCTCCCTCTGCCCTACATAATTTAAACCGTGACAAGTTTTTTTAATGTTTTTTTCTACTGTAACTTATTACTAAATTTATAAATCCACTGTTTTTAAACGATACAATGTAAACCAAGTATTGTTATGTTCAGACTTTTTATTATATTTGAATAAAACAGAAATAATGGTTATATCACTTTGTTAAAAAAAAATACACAAATGAATACCGGTAGATTACAATCAACATATACACTATTACAGTTACAATTGTCAATATATTCATAACCTTATTACGATCGTATTTACATGCATTGAGATTTCACAAGATTAAAGCCCCTCTAAAGTGTTGGGAGTTCAAATTTGCCATTATTTTATGGCAAAGTTTCTCTTAAAATTGTTCAGTGATGTAAAACATGATGTCATTTAACACATTATGTAACAAACTCATATTGTTTCATAATTTATTTTTTTTTACAAAATCAATAATAAATCTATAACAAAATTGTACAGATGCAAGTTTATACAAATGCATTAATGTTATTTTTATAAAAATAAAAAAATCAATTCAAAGCAGTTGACCACTAAAAAAAAAAAAAAGGCATGCAAAAGATGTGCGATTTCTTACACAATTGTTACCTAATCTGCAGTTGCAATTGCAATTAGATATATAAAATTTAAGTTTAATAAATGGTCCCGCAAAAAATATTTCTTTTTCTTGTATCATTGAAATAAATTTGAACTACAAGTATCACTTTGTTCAGTATAAAATAAACATCCCTCAATCAATTCGAGATATTATATTTTAATTTTAATTTTTTACACTGTTTCTTAATTTCAATATACCCTGTATAAAGAAATATTTCAACAATTAAATGATTATTAACCATAATAATCATAACAAACCAATAATAAAGTGATACAATGCATGATTTTATAAGTTAATATATGTCTCATTTTAAGGCCAAAAAAGAAAAGGTTAGATTCCACAATTTTAAGTGGTTGAAAAGACGCCTCAAAAAGACGAAAAACATTGCAAGTCAAAATTGTAATTACCACATTTTTTTACATTAAAAAAAAAATGTGACCCAACCCGCTGCCGTTTGAATCATTTCCAACGCAGTCTCTGGAGACCCGACGCCTTTGGCGGCGAAGCTCCCTGGAGTTAATGTTATGTACGTTATTACCCCTCCGCCCCCCCCCCCCCCCCCTGTAAAAAAAAAAAAAAAAATGCAGTCAGTTTCAATAGTGTAGTCTAAAAACTTTTTTTCTCCATAATTGAATATAAAAACACTGCTAACATTTAAATTTCACAGTTCGGACATACGTGACATATTATCAAAATTGCAATTTCAACTTTGAATTGTAAATTTCGACATAATAATATCTGATCAAAAAACAAAAGGCACATTGCCTATAGCCCATCGGGCAGGCTATAACATACCAAAGTTTGGTATAAAATAGAGCAACAATAAGCGAGATACTGTTCAAAGAACAATGTCATGTACTGTACATTCATGATGTAAACGAAATTCACCTTCTATAAGCATTGCACGTAAATTAAGAAACTTCTGACATGTCGCCTTTAGTCGCAATTTTCACTATGATGTCTTCATCAAAATGACAAAAAGTGGATATTGACCACGTAGAAAATTATCTTGGCTACAACATATCAAAAATTGGTTGAAAAACAATCAATATTTACAGAGATACAGTAATTACAAACAACTATACAGAGCGTCCCAGAAAAAACGAAACCGAGAATCATTGACGTTTTATCACAACTTAATCACAATTATAATGAATAAATGACATATATTTGTAAAGCTTAGCAACTCATATAATGCATATTTCACGCATGAGTGATTAAAATCAATTTGAAAAAAGAGAACAAAAAGTCATTTGCCGCACGGTATCTAAATTTGAAAGAGAAAATCAGCTTTTGCCCTTTCATATGACACCTCAATCATGAAAAATAGGCAAGGAATAATTTTTTTGCTTAAAGTGATGCTTAAATTAAAATAATTTGATTAAACAAATTCGTTTTCACTGGCTGCCTGCTGTAACAACCCCCCCCCCACCCCCCTCAAAAAAAACCAAAAAAAAATGCAGTCAGTTTCAATAGTGTAGTCTCAAAACTTTTTTTTTCTCCATAGTTGAATATAAAAACACTGCTAACATTTAAATTTCACAGTTCGGACATACGTGACATATTATCAAAATTGCAATTTCAACTTTGAATTGTAAATTTCGACATAATAATATCTGATCAAAAAACAAAAGGCACATTGCCTATAGCCCATCGGGCAGGCTACAACATACCAAAGTTTGGTATAAAATAGAGCAAGAATAAGCGAGATACTGTTCAAAGAACAATGTCATGTACTGTACATTCATGATGTAAACGAAATTCACCTTCTATAAGCATTGCACGTAAATTAAGAAACTTCTGACATGTCGCCTTTAGTCGCAATTTTCACTATGATGTCTTCATCAAAATGATAAAAAGTGGATATTGACCATGTAAAAAATTATCTTGGCTACAACATATCAAAAATTGGTTGAAAAACAATCAATATTTACAGAGATACAGTAATTACAAACGACTATACAGTGCGTCCCAGAAAAAACGAAACCGACAATCATTGACGTTTTATCATAACTTTAATCACAATTATAATGAATAAATGACATATATTTGTAAAGCTTAGCAACTCATATAATGCATATTTCACGCATGAGTGATTAAAATCAATTTGAAAAAAGAGAACAAAAAGTCATTTGCCGCACGGTATCTAAATTTGAAAGAGAAAATCAGCTTTTGCCCTTTCATATGACACCTCAATCATGAGAAATAAGCAAGGAATAATTTTTTTGCTTAAAGTGATGCTTAAATTAAAATAATTTGATTAAACAAATTCGTTTTCACTGGCTGCCTGCTGTAACAAACAAAATTGACAAAAGACTTACTCCGTTTTGTTGACAATCAGACATGGGCGAAAGACTTCCTGCATGGCTGGTTGTCAACGAAACGGAGCTTGTCTTTTGTCAATTCTGCTTGTTGCTACAACAGGCAGCCAGTGAAAACTGACTTCTTAAATCAAATTTTAAAACTTTAAACAAAACTTTGCTCCTTTTTCCTGATTGAGGTGTCACATAAAAGGGCAAAAACTGAACTTTCTAAAAATATTTTCTCTTTTGAAATTTAGATACCATACGCCAAATGACCTTTTGGTTCCCTCTCTTCAAATTGATTTTAATCACTCATGCGTAAAATATGCATCATATGAGTTGCATCAAATAAAAGAGGCTCTAAGCTTTACAAATATGTCATTTATTAGTTATAATTGTGATTAAGTTATGATAAACATCAATAATTTTTCGGATTCTTTTTTTTGTGGGACGCACTATATAACGAAATATAAAAAAAACATATTACAACTTTTCTATCTCAACAGCAATCCCATCTGTCCCAATTTTATACCTTATTGGAAATCCAAGGAGGGAGGATACGAGATTTTCGTCCATGCCGTCTGCGATCTTGATGCAATTTCCATTTTTCATCATGATACGCATGGGTACGCTGTATAAAAAGAAAATGAAAATACAATTAACATATATTTAAAAACCTAATAAGGGCAATTTATACACATATTTCACAACTCAATGTCTTTATAAAGCCTTGATATATATATAAAAAATGGGACTTTAGTTAGAAAATGGGGCCCTACAGTTTGTCTAAATTTAGAGCCTGGAATTTCAACATGTGCATGAATTCAAAATAATTACTAAGCCTACACGAAACTACATTGTTAAGATGAGAGATAGTAGTGCTAAGGTAGTGACTTCAATACTAGATGTACAATTAAAAATAATATGAAAATTTGAGTGAAAACGGAAACGGATAGTGATTCTTGACAATTTGATATATTTTGATGCCTTTGTGGATGTATTATAAGCACTAGAAAATTTAGCCCCTAAAACACTAATGCTTACAAAAAAAATTGAATATAAAAATTTACCGGTGCTCCTGGTAAATTGATAAATTTCAATTAGCGTCTATGCCCGAAACATGGTAGATGCGACCATGAAAACCTCAAAATATGTAGTTGTGATATATAATTTCCAACCAGGATTAGCTAAAATCGGTTGATTTTAGTCAAGAAACATTGTTTTATAGCTTAATGAATATCTTGACCTCGAGAGAGAGCTATACAACATCAAAAGTTTATTATTTACAATTTCATAACTTTAGACTCGATTTCAACCGCAACAACGATTAACTGAATATTGTAAGATCGCATATGCTTCCAATATGTTAATTTGAACCAAATTCATGACCCCATATTAAAACTTTGTATTACCTTTAATATAATTATTTCAAGTTGTTAACATTATATAGGAAAAAGGACACTATGGCGGCCATTAAAACAAAAGAATACAACAGATCACAAAAGCAGAATTTGAAAAACACAATATCATTTTCTCCACCCAGGCGCGTAAGCAGGGGGGGTTTGAGGGTCGACCCCCTCCCCCCCCCCCCTCAATATTTTGTATGTGTGCGATTTTGAGGAAAACCCTCCCCTCAAATTTGTTTTAATAAAAAAAATATTAAAAAGGTGATCTTACCACCCCCCCCCCCCCCCCCCCCTCCCTAACTAAACAAAATATCGGTCGGCCAAATTTTCAAATTTCTTGGACCCCTCAAAAATGTGCTCTTAATTTATTTCACTTAACCCAAACCGAGTCATATTTCAAGCCAAGATATGCATCTTTCATTTTATGTACCTTTAATTTCTTAATTATAATAAAGTTGATGTCAAAATTGAACAAAAGTGTTACAATTGTCCTCGGTCTCCCCTACTAAATTTGATGCTTTTCATCACAAAATGCACAATTACCCCTAAAATTAACGCTACGATTATACCGGGTTCTATTGTAATCCAACTACATGTACATGTACCAGTTATAACAACAAAAATCTAAATATAAAAACATTTACGCACATCAAAAAACAAACAAAACGGCAATGATCATTCTAAAAGCTAGGAACGGATTCGGCATTTACGCAATTCTTCTTAATTATACACAATTGCCGGAGCTACATGTAAGAGAGTATACAAAAATCTAAACCAATTTAGTCTCACTATGCAAATGGAAAAAAAGAAGACTTTTTACACCTACACATGTGTACATGCACTACAATAAAAACATAAAATACACATAACAAATAACCACCAAAAAGTACAAACCTTGTTTTTCTCACGCCAATCACCTCTCCCTCTACCCATTTTTCTTTCACCATCTACATAAATGCAAAAATAAAACAAAAAAAGACAAAGAAATATCAATACAAACATATTGTGACAAAACAGTAGTACACATAACATATTGGTGACACGACATTTGCTCCTGCGACAATTGCTCCGGGCTTTATTTCGTCTAAGATGTAGGGTTAGGGTTAGGGTTTCAATAGGGTTTTATGTTAGGTTTAGGGTTAGGTTTAGGGTAGGGTATAGTGTTGAATCCAGGGTTGAAGTTAGCCATTCGATTAGTGTATGAAATTTACAGCGGAGCAATTGTCGCCGGAGCAAATGTCATGGAATCAACATATTTCATTCAAAGTACCAAAGAGTTTTAAGAGATGGGAGTCATATCTAATTCATTCCCTTTGAACCATCTTCGATGCCGCCAAAAAAAAATATGTCGGGCATGTACTTAACTGATGATTCCTGCCTATCTGTAAACTAAAGGGTTACTTTTAAAAATTGACAGTTTGACTAGATTACAAAAAAAAAATTATGAGTAAAATGATGTCTTAAAATGAGAAATAAAAGTAAATTAAATATGACACTCTCACAAGCTACTGGGCTTTCAATTTGAAAAGATGCCACGTCGAACAAAATTGTTAAAACCTAGAAAAAAATTAAATAATATTATTACAACAAAAAAATGTAATCATAATGGTGTGAATCACTCGATAAATAAGAACAGACGCCACTTTCTATTCGATAACGGTTTTATTCAATCTGTACTCAAAGAGAAAATGCAGATAGAAAATCCGGTGTTAACATTCACATATTTACAGTAGTATTCAAAAAAATACTTATTCATAGAGTTACACACAAGATATTTCATTGAATGGTTCAATGTATTTCTTGCCAAAAATCCAATCAATATTAACTCTATGATGTTCACAACACAAGCACGTGCTCCAAGTCTGTTCATGTATCACCTTAATCCAATGTGCTAAAAGCATGTGCTTTGTTCATGTATCACCTTAATCCAATAACTTGTCACATACACCTATCAAAGTGACTTTCACAACTGACCTAAATAACAATGCGCAAAAACAAATTTGATTTTTTTTTTTTTTGTGCATTCAATCTACATGTACCTTGCTAAATAACTGTTGCTGTTTTTCAACTCAGCCAAAATGATAATTTATCAAACTTGTAAATCTCCTATTTTTTTATACAACTCAAAAAATGACCAAATTATTCTGGCGCTAGTGTTGTTAGGTATTCATTTTTTTTAGTACTTTAATATCCATTCTTAGCAAAGAAATTTTAACCCAATTGTTTACTTATTTTAATCATAATCATTTATTGCATTTTCCACCTCAATTTGGATCACATTTGACATCAAGAAACCTCCGTTTAGAGCTTTGATGTCACCGTCGTCGCTCAGTACCAATCATCTCTATGCTATAGTCCTGCACCTCAAACTGAAGCTATCAGTCCAAAATTATGCAGACTTCTCGTATGGTGGTATCGTGCATGTTATGATACCACCATACAAGGTTTGAGGTGCAGGACTAGCATAGAGACGGTACTGGGTAGGCCTGTGGATCGGGGGCCGATCTTGAGCCGATCAGGAATGATCAGATAATAATTTCCGATTGCCGATCAATAAAAATGATCCAAAAAACATTGGCAGAATTTTTTTTTTTTTTTTTTAATGACAAAAATTTTCAAGTTTTTGGCTATCAAAGGCTTTTACAAAATTCATAGCTGGGATTATTTTGTCATGTGAAGTTGTTGTAGACCATGTTTGTTATATCTAGTGACTTTTCATGACTTTGAAATTAATAATATTGGTCTAAGAGAAGAGGCAAAACATGCGGGCCGCCATCTTGGATTATAATGCATGCCTACTTTATGAAAATTGAAAATTTTCGTCATAAAAAAAAATAAATAAATAAACAAAAAATCAGCTGATTTTTGGTGTCGATCTTCAAGTCCGATACCGATCAAAGGTACGAGGGTGTCGCTCCGATCTTCCGATCCGATCAGAGCCCCAACTTACACGATTAGGCCAAATAAAAAAAAACATGTTTAACATCCTTTTTTTTCAAAAAAATAGGGAGGCCCTTTTTTTTTAATTATTTCAAAATGGCCGCTCAAAATAGCCGCTCGGTACATTTTCCCTGACAGTCTGACTATTTTTCAAGATGGCCGCCAACATTTTAATTTTTTTTAATTTAAATCAGAAATTGATCTATTTTAGCAGTGTTTTTCATGTTTTTTTCTTTTCAAAAAAAAAATAAAAAATAAAAAAAAGGAGGCGGCCCCCCAAAAAAAGCGGGAGGGGAAGCTAAACATGCATATTTTGTTACATGGCCTTAGTACTGAGCGACGACGTCGACATCGAAGCCCTAAACAGAGGTTTCCCGATGTCGGATGTGATCCAAATTCAGGTGAAAAATGCAATAGGTCTATACGATTATGATTGAAATTAATAAAAAATTGTGCTAAAATTCATTTGCTAAAAAATTTAAATGGATATTAAACTGCTAAAAAAAATAGATACGAAACTACACTAGCGCCATTATTCTTTAAAAATTTGCATACATTTTATGCGCACTCATTAAGTGTTTTCTGCTATGGACTTGAATTCTATACAAATAAATAGCATGGCATTCTATTATTTGCCAAGACTAGACCTAGAATCTAAATGTTTTAATTTATACACTTGCATATAAACCTCTAGATCTAGATAGTCTATAGAGTCTATTTAAAATTGCTTTTTATTTATACATACACGTTTACTTTCTCCAAATAAACCAATTTCTCTCTCATATGAGCAACCAAAATTCAATAGACAATGCATGCAGTATTTTTACAAACCAAATAATATATCAGGTCCTTAAGACACTTCATTTTGTGAATGACCCTAATAACAGTGACCTACTTTTTGCAAGCCTGATTTCATTAGATGGTGAAATCAACTCTTACTTGAATCTTGGATTCTTTTCCTCCTTAATACTTCCTCATGCTACTCTCAAAACCAATCTTGGTTTTCTTGATTTTTAAGTAAATAAACTATGGTCTAATCAAATACCTCACTCCATTTACACTCACTTCTACATATATCTACAATACTTTGTGTCTCTGCGTTAAATTCAATTTCCACTAAATTTACGCGTTTAAAAAAAAATAAACAACTAACATTTGACCGATAGATGCGTTAAACTTAAAGATAAACTTGAGTTGTAGATCCTAGACCTAGTGGTAAAAAAAGAAAATGAATTCTCACAGAATCTAACGAAACTTACACTGAATGTTCAAGATTACAAATAAATGTCATGTGCCAAACAATTTTGGAAGAAAATGTATACTGGCTGAGTAATGAGCATAGAAAGATTTAAAAAATCAGGGTAGTACTTTGTACCCAAAATCGTTTGGCAAATTTCAATTTGTAATCTTGAATATTCAGTTTAAGTTTCATTTGATTCTGTGAGAATTGATTTTCTTTTTTAAAACCAAAAGTCAAGTAGATCTAGATCTAGACCTAGACCCTATATCTTTAATATATTAATTAAACAGGCATCGTAAAAGGGCTTGTATTGAAGGAGGAACACATTGGAACATCGATAATATATATAGGGGTACTACTAGATCTAGGTCTAGTAGTAGGGTGTCTGAACGATTTTTCAATTTTCAATTTTGGATCGTTTTTCACCATTTTTGTTTGATATTTGAATAAAAAATGTTATCAGAATAATACATTTCAAATTTCAAGTCTCACCGATGTTTCTATCAAAAGTTACAGCCCCTCCAACACGCTGGTATATTCATATCATTTTGGTCAAAATCGACGAAAAAGACGTCCACGCAGAGTGATGTTGTTTTGCTAAATTTAGCCAAACAGCTGTATCGCGCGATATGCAAGCGTATGCATATCGTACGCATGCTGCTAAGCCAATCCGCGACTTGCAGCTTGAGCTACGCTGTCTCCGCGACATGTGCGATTGACTAGTATGGTTGGCGTTCGTCGCGCAATAAACCCGGAAGTGAATGCACGTTATAGTCAATGGCAATATCGCGGAGACAACGCACGTTGTCTCCGCGATATTGCCATTGACTATAACGTGTATTCACTTCCGGGTTTATCGAGGGAATTGCCAACCATAATTTCAGTCACTATAATTTGGGGTTTCGTTCGTGCGCGGAGATGTTACGCGATGTAACCATGGTTTGGACTGAGCGGAGCGCACGCCTCCTAATTAGCTGATCCACCAAATAGCGAGAAGGGTATTTTTAAACTGTTATCAGTTGTGATCCCTGGGGGCTAGCGAAAATATAATCACATAGAATTGTTCCTTAGGACTGGGACTACTTATCGATCGGGGCGTCATATCTCAAAAGTGACAAACCTCAGAGTTAGCCAGGACACAATGTTTAAATTGCTGTTTTGACCAAGATATTTTTAGAATTTCGGGGGCTACGCCCCTTTGGAAATATTGGAATTCACCTGCTCTTTCATATGACACCTCATTCATTGATTATCACCTTCAGGATCACAACTGATAAAGGTTTGAATCTCGATTTGAAAAAAAAAATTTGACTTTTTTTGCATGGTCGCGCAACGCACGTAGGCTGCATAGGGATGCGTGTAATCTCTATGGGAAGAATTTTAGCACACAACATCGGGTGCGCGATCAGACACCCTACTAGTAGTACTACTAGCCCCGACCATGCCGACACCATGTGTGTTGTCCCATATACATCTTTCTGTGTAAGTGATTGTTACTTTACCAAGACTCTGCCAAATTTATGATGAGTTTGATGACTCCAAAACCTTGCATTACACACCATTACTTACATGCTATATGATCAACTTTTCTGATCCATTCCACACCTTTTCTTTCACAATGCAATCGCATTACCAGAACTCAGTTTATCTTTAAGTCTCAACAGCGCGCACACTGACCTCTTTGAAGCTGAGTGTATGTGTACACAAACGTACCAAATTAATCCGACACATAGTCTCATAGACACAAAATCTTGCACAGTTTATATCTCAACATTGAATTAATCTACACATTTTTATCCTTTACTAAACAAGTATTGAGTATTTCATGATATAAACTTACTCTATGGGCGGCGTTAAACTCAACGTAAAAAGACAAATTCGGAGACTTTTTGTCCCACTCGCACTGATTTTCTCTCGAAAAAAACGTTCTGTCTACTAACTCATGTTACGGTGTCTTCAAGTTTCAAACATTTAACAAAAAATCTTTAAAAAATGATTAAAGAAACTATTGTTTCAAAATGTGCTTTAAATAATTGTTTACAACTCATTTTTAAACCAATGAACATTAAAGGAAAATCTAACCCAAATAGAGTACTAATCTAATACAAAGCACAAAAGCAAACTGATGAAAGTTGAATATAAAAAAGTTATGAATTTTTAAAAGTAGTAATCACTATACCTATGAGCACTTCAAATTGGCTGAACCAGTAATGCCAATGTGATATAGTGTCGGCTACTTTTCCATCTGTTCCAACATATAAATGACTAAATTTGTATTTTTTTCGAAAATTCATTGCTCAGGAGGGTTTTTTTTTTTTAAGGACCTATAAATACTATGCTATCTATAATTTTGAGTAGTGTTCCAAGGGAGAACAAACATACGAAAAAAACAAAAAATAATGGTATTTTTGTACACGACAAATGAGAGACTGATCCACGTCCTACGTCACAATCCACTGACCGAACTACCAATTTGAGATTTGCATAGACTGAGTAATCTCATATTTCAAACATTCATAACTTCCTTACTATTGGTCGATTCATTTCAAACTTTTGCCATTTTGTTTGTGTTATTTCAGTTCTGCTTTTATACACATAAACTTATTACAAGGGTTGGATTAATTGCCCTTCAGTTTAAAACACAAACAAAATCAATGATTAATCATGAAAAGTTCAAAACAAACCTACAAAATCACAACTAAAGTGGCATCTGATTTAACGATGCGATCATTCAATTTCGAGCAAAGTTGAATAATCACCGAGATCATTTTGTGTCTACGTGTCGGATTAATTTGGTACGTGTGTAGACATATCAAACTGTGCAACTCAACATAAAAACAAAAAAAACATTCAAAAAGCTATCTAGTTCATTCAATTTGATTGTATAAACATGCAATTCATGATTTTCCCACATCAGCGTGCAAAAAGCGCGTTCAAATTAAAAAAGCAAGTAAATTCATTCAAATTAGCGCCTGCATTGCCATAATAAACATTAATGTATTCAAATTCACAAATAGACAAATTAAACGTCTATCCAGCTGGCGCAAAATTGGTCATTAAATTAAATGGATTTTTCTCTGAATTAAATAAAATTCAAAAGAAATGATAAAACGAAATTGAAAGCTCAAAAAATGAAAATGAACCATGAGAGCAGAGAGTTGACAAATATCATTCAAACTTAAACGCCTATGTATGAACTCGAAATGCAACTCTGATAAAATTGGGCGGGAAAACCTATAGTCAAACAAAATTACCTCAATTTTCGTGGACACCGACCCCTGCAGACCATTGGCGTCTCTAATGACGGCCGTCACCAGGACAGACAGTCCTTCTGCTACATCCTGAGAAGCGCTCTCGCCCCATAGGGTTATTGGTATCGATTGAGTATCGTCATCACCCAGCTGTCTCAACGTTATTACCCGCCTTTTGTAACTTCCACTCTCCACAAGTTGGCCTACCTGCAAAACACCATAAACAAGTACATCACGTATTTAATTCGAAAAATACAAAAACATTTGAAAATAACAATAGTGTGTTTTTGTATAGCACTCATGTCCGTCACACTTGGCACTTCTGGTTTTCCCCAGTATAATGTATAATGCATTACACTATACACTCAAATCGTAATATGATATCATTTATAATGTTTATATAAATAAATGTCTTTTTTAATGTTTCATAAAATCCTCACAATTTGAAAAAACTTCTTTTACGATTCAAAATCACTAGGTTAAACAAAAAATCGTCACAATTGTTACATTTTACAACAGCAAAATACATACCTCGATCACATCACCTTCGACTGTCATTCTTCTTTTTGGGGCGCTCCCCCGAGCCTCAGAGACAGAAACACTTTTCGGCCTGATAAAGCTGTCCACTGCTTCCTTGTTTACGTCGAAATCGACGACTTCAGAAAACACCTAAAAATACAATTTATATCAATAAAATACAATTTATAACTATTTAAAGATTGTGATACATAGCCACTTCTCTACAACAATACCACTATAAACCATTTTTTTAAAGGCCCCAAGTATAAACATATTTACCTTAATATAAATACCATCCTTCATAATGAAACTGCAAATTAATAAAGCCATACTTTCAACAAAAAACAACAAAAAATCAACAAATATTTAAGCTACTAAATCATATTGATAATTTATACTACCGTTTAACCATTACAGATTTAAAATTAAATATAAATTATTTTTAGCCAAAAATTGATTAGGCTAAATGGAATGGATATAGTTTTACCATACCTCTAATGGTTATCGAAGACAAAATATTACTTTTTTTAAATAATTTTGTTAATGATATTATTGCTTTATTTAGTCAAGCAAATGTATCTAGTACAGGCCTATTAAAAGCCCTTCAATGAATAAAACAAATTATAATTCACAATTTAGTCAACCATTGATTAGGCAAAAAAAACAAAAAACATGTTTAGCGTCCTGTTTTTTCAAAAAATAGAAAGGAGGCCCTTTTTTTTTTTTTTTTTTTCTTTTCAAAATGACCGCTCGGTACATTTTCCCTAACAGTCGGGCTACTTTTCAAGATGGCCGCCGACATTTTTTTTTTTTTTTTTTTTTTTTTAAAATCAGAAATAGATCAATTTTAGCAGTATTTTTTATGTTTTTTTTCTTTATGTTTTTAAATTAAAAAAATAAAAATAAATAAATAAAAAAAAAAACATGAAAAAAAAAAAAAAAGTTTCAAAAAAAAAAAAATAGGAGGCGGCCCCCAAAAAGGAAACGGGCGGGGACGCTAAACATGTATATTTTTTTTTAATGGCCTTAGGCTAAATAAATGATCATATATTGTCAAGTGGACGCTTACTCAACACAAAAATCCATACATGGACACCAAAAAGTTCCAAACTTTCACTTACCGTCGCATTTGCTAGCAAACGGAGACTGGGGCCTCCCTTACCCACCACGTGCGTTATGATGATTTTGTCACCGGCCTTCAATTTGACGAGGTCCACAGCCGCTTCGCTCGTTACCTCATTAACAAAACACCCCTTAATTACACCTTCTCTACCACTTTCGATGACATTTCCAAAAAGGTATTGGCGACCACTCGGCGCCTTCACTTTTCTCAGTTCAAAACCTTCTACAATCATCAATTGCACTGAGGAGTGTTTAGTCGACATCTTGTTATCCTTAATGTCCTTGCTATCAAAATGTCACACATATGCATTTGTCAGACCCCTTATATACCCATGTCAAAGGTACGTAACATCTTTTACAATAGGCTTTCCCTACCTAGCAACACTAACCCATGCGCAGATAGTATTTACAAAATGGCTTGTTGTAATAGGCCATTTCGTAATGTAACCAAATTTAATGCATAAGTCTTTGTAAAGTTCCTCAATACAAACTGCTAAGTAGGCTTGACCTACCTAGCAACACTAGCACATGCGCAGATAATATTTACAAAATGGCTCGTTGTGATAGGTCATTTTCGTAATGTAACCATATTTAATGCATACGTCTTAATTTGTGAAGTGCCTCAACACAAACTATTTCATTCACCTGGTAACAATATTATTTGTCTGTGGTACGATTGTAAAACAGGCAAATGTTATTTGCATCGTTAATGAATGCTACTTATGTTGGGTCCGGCCCAGGAGCCCCGATGGAATGTAATTTGCAAAGGCAGCTCGAACAGGTGTGCGAACTAATTCTGCGACGGATACCAAGGCGTGGCATCATTATTAGTGCGTAATTCAATCATTCTAGCCTGAACTTTCAACGAGACAACTTTTATTTACAATAAAAGTGCGTTAGTTACATTAGTTGTTGCCATGTTGGACAAACTGCTCAGTAGGCTTGACCTACCTAGCAACACTAGCCCATGCGCAGATAGTATTTACAAAATGGCTTGTTGTAATTGGCCATTTTCGTAATGTAACCAAGTTTAATGCATAAGTCTTTAATTTGTAAAGTTCCTCAATACTAACTGCTAATAGGCTTGACCTACCTAGCAATACTAGCCCATGCGCAGATAGTATTTACAAAATGGCTTGTTGTAATTGGCCATTTTCGTAATGTAACCAAATTTAATACATAAGTCTTTGTAAAGTTCCTCAATACAAACTGCAAAGTAGGCTTGACCTACCTAGCAACACTAGCCCATGCGCAGATAGTATTTACGAAATGGCTTGTTGTAATAAGCCATTTTCGTAATGTAACCAAATTTAATGCATACGTCTTAATTTGTAAAGTGCCTCAATACAAACTATTTCATTCACCTGGTAAAAATATTATTTGTCTGCGGTACGATTGTAAAGCAGGCAAATGTTATTTGTATTGCTAAAGAATGCTACTTATGTTGGATCCGGGGCCGCGTGCCCCGATGAAATGTAATCTACATTTAGGCAGCTCGTACAGGTGTGCGAGCTAATTCTGCTACGGATACCAAAGCGTGGCATCAATTAGAGTGTAATTCAATCATTCTAGCCTGAACTTTCAACGAGACAATTTTTATTTACAAAAAAAAGTGCGTTATAGTTACATTAGTTGTTGCCAGGTATAGGCGCGGATCCAGGATTTCTTAGGGGGGGGGGAGGCCCAAATTTAAAATCATGCGAGCCAAATATTGGTACGTAATGGTGACCAACAGTGACGTAATGCGAGGGGGGGGGGGGTCGGTGCAGGGGGGGGGGGGGAGTTTCACCCTCCCAAGCTTTGACGTTTCATTATATTATTAGAGAAAAAAGACGATTCGTTGTACTGTTCTCGAAAATAATTCTCGTCTGAATTTAGTTTTTCCCCTCCCGCGCTAAGCGCGGAAAATTTTACGGTTTATTAAATTATTAGAGAAAGAAGACGATTCGTTGTAGAGTTCTCGACTCTTAATCCTCGTCTAAATTCAGTTTCCCCCCTCCCGCGCAAAGCGCGAAAGCTATTACGATTCATTAAACTATTAGATACAGAAGA